GTCTTAATGCAAGAGTGACCAATAGCTTTTTACAGTCATGCACTACAGGAAAGAAACTTGTTGTTGTCAACTTACGAGAAGGAGATTCTAGCATTAGTATTGGCTATCCAGAAGTGGAGAGCCTATTTGCTGGGAAAACAGTTCATCGTAAGAACCGATCAAAGAAGCTTAAAGTATTTGTGGGAGCAGAAAATTACCACTACAGCTCAACAGAGATGGTTATATAAATTGATGGGCTTTGATTTTGTTATCGAATACAAAAAAAAGAAAGAAGAATATTGTGGCTGATGCTCCTTCAAGAAAAGAAGATACAGAAAAGGTTACGGAAAGAAACAGCAGAGAATTTGCAACTATTACTCAACTTATTCCTGATTGGATGGAGGCCATAAAGGAAGAAGTCAAGTCCAATTCAAATTTGCAAATGCTGGTTCAACATATCATGGATGGTGAAGCGGTAAGACCATGGGAGTTTAAAGATGGAGTCATATTTTTTAAGGAAAGAATTTATCTTCTTGAAAATTCTTCCTTCATTAATAAGATTCTAAATCAGTTCCACAACAGTACCCATGAGGGGTACCACAAAGCAGTGCAGCGGATTAGAGCAAATTTTTATTGGACTAGAATGAGGAGAAAATTTGGGAGTTCATTTCAACGTGTGACACATGCCAGCGACACAAGGCCGAACAACTTGCCTCTACGGGATTACTCTAGCCGCTTCCTATTTCAACACAGGTATGGAAGGATATTTCTATGGATTTCGTTAATGGATTGCTGATGTCTAATGGAAAAACTACTATTCTGGTAATTGTTGATAGGTTGTCCAAATATGCTCATTTCCTTTCCTTGTCACATCCATATACGGCTACTGGAGTTGCACGAATTTTCTTTGATAATATCTTCAAATTGCATAGAATGCCAAGAACCATTGTTTGTGATCGAGATCCAGTATTCACAAGTTTATTCTAGTCAAAATTATTCAAGTTGAATGGCATTGACTTCAACTATAGTTTGGTGTATCATCCCCAAACGGATGGTCAAAGTGAAGTTGTAAATCGTACAATGGAGATGTACTTGCGATGTTTCTTGAGGTCACGGTCGAAGGAGTGGATCAAGTGGTTAGCATGGGCTGAGTATTGCTATAATACCAATTGGCATTCAGCTATTAAAACAACCCCTTTTGAAGTTGTGTATAGTCGGCCACCACCAACTTTATTGTCCTACATTCCCGGCATGGCGAAGGTTAATGCCGTGGAGAAACAGTTAATGGATCGCGATTAGATTATTAAAGATTTGCGGGCAACACTGAAGGAAGCGCAGTCACGCATGAAGAAAGTGTATGACCATCATCATAGAGAAGGGGAATTTGAAGAGGAAGAGTGGGTTTATCTTAAGCCCCAACCATATCGACAAGCATCCATAGCAATGAGGGAAAATCTCAAACTCTCTCCTAAGTATTATGGGCCATTCCAGATTGCTAAGAAGATCGGGGCTATGGCATATAAATTGGACCTGCCCAAGGATTCGCATATCCATCACATTTTTCATGTCTCACTGTTGAAGAAAAAGATTGGTGAAAACCTTCCTATACAAAGCATGCTCCAATTGTACGCAATGAAGATGAAATTCTTGTTCCTAAGCCGCAAGCAGTTCTGGATCGTCGAGTGCGTAAGAGAAAGGACGAGGTTCTCATTCATTGGCAAGGATTATCACCCACTGAAGCTACTTGGGAAGATCTGGTAACCATGAAGCAACAATTTCCTGAATATTGCCTTGAGGACAAGGCTGCTTTTTAGGTGGAAGGAATTGTTATGTGACTGTTATTTTATTGCTTTTCAAAATAATATTTCTGTTTAGGTTGTTATCCTTGCAGTAAATAATCCTAGTTTTTAGTGATAATTGTTAGTAGTTGGTTTGACCTGGTTTCAAGGAAAGTAGTGGGTCTAACTTATTTTTCTAATTTTATGGTTGTGAACATTGAGGATGCCAATATAAGACTAGCTAGTCATGAATAAAATAATGAGTTGTCATTTATTCTTGAACACTTGTTTTTAGTTGGAGGTCAGGATTCCTCAGTCAACCCAAACTATTGTATTGCTTCTTTTTTTACCCTGTTACAATAGGTTCTAAGAAACAAAAACAGGGCACTCCCCAGTACATACCAGTATAATATAAGAGATGGAAAGACAGCGAAGATCAAAGGAAAAGAAAAAAAATATTGAGTCATTAAGGTCATTTCATATTTTCTGTTAACAGTATTAGTGTTACACTTTAATCAAGAATAATATGAGGATTAATTGACTATTTTTAAAAGACAGTAGAGTAGAGTGAAGGCTAAAAAAATCCATTGAAATTCAATTGGTGGACACATCGTCATGCTTGGAATGTTTGCGGTGGCACCGAGCTGCAGAGTGGACATATGCTGAGCAGCAGCGTCGACAATAAGGATGGAGTTTTTCAGCAATGATGGAGTTTTTTGCCGACAATGGGTGGATGGGTCGGAGTTGGGAAAAGAGAAGGGAGGAAGAGAGAAAGAGAGAGGGGGCAAAAAAGAGAAAGATTTACGTTGTGTTTGGTTGGGAATTTGAGAAATAATTTGGAAAGGGAAAAGGTAAGTAAAATATGAATAAAATATATATTTCACTTAGTTTCACACACTTTTTTCTTTTTCTTTTCTCTTTTCAAATCCCTCATCAAATCCCCTAACCAAACACAGGCTTAAAGTACTTTGGGTGGATCTGTTGAGTTCAAAAAACAATTGTAGGTCTGTCTTCACGAGGTTCATTCCACATCAAGGTCTAATTGGAGGCTCTCAATTAGGAAAAGTTATTGGTTGGTTGGTTGGGATACTGTCACATGTGTTTTACGTGTGTTATGATTGGTGAAGAATGTAGGATTTACGATTTTGTATTGGGTAATTGGAAAACATAAAGGAGCATGAAATATGTAATTGGTCAGGGGTATAACCATGTGGTGCCCCTAAACCAACCAATGATTTTTTTCTATTAGAACTTTCAAATATTTTTCTTAAAATCTATGAAAGGAATAAAAGGATAATGATAAAATAATTTAAAAGAATAAAGTACAAAAACACTTACAAAAGTAACCCGAGTAAGAATAATTTAAAACAACTAAGATGGAAGATGTATATATATCTTTCCTTTCTTTCAAATTTTCAAATTTCTACCCAACTTTACAAAGATGCTAGTGTAAAACAATATAGCAAATTACCCTCCATTGTCAAAACTTTTCCTTCTTTCTTTCAAATTTTTAAATTGCTACTCAACACTATAAAGATATTAGTGTAAAACAATATAGCAAATCACCATTCATGGTTAGAACTTTTCCTTCTTTAAAAGGTTATTGAACTCCTTTTGGTACACACCCTTCAAAAGGTGTGTACCATATGCACTTTATTATATATTTTTGTGATATATGTTATGTATTTTTATGGTAAATATTACGTAATTTTGTGATAGAGTTACTACAATTTGTGTTCAAAAAATGAAATTACGTATTTTTTGATGATGTTAAGCATTTTTTTTCATTAAAACATTTTTGAACCACAAAATGTATAACATTACAAACAAAACAAAACAAAAAAAATACATAATATATTTACAAATTATATTTACTACAAAATTACGCAAATTATCGCATTTCCACTACAAAATTACGTTATATTTACTACAAAAATACATAATATATACCATAAAAATATATAATAAAGTGCATATAATACACATTTTTAGAAAAAAAAGTGTGTATTAAAGAGAGTCCCAAGTTATACATTAGTCGATTCGCGTATTATCCATTCTAGACCCATGTCACCTTGAAAAAGTGTTGTGCCTTCATTAATTTGTGGACTTAGTATAGACAAGAGCATTAAGATCCTCTAGAGTGTATTCTCTAGAGTGATCTCCTAGAGTGATCCATCCAAGGGCTGAGATTAAGTCTCACCAAAACGACGTTCTTTTGGTGAGTAACTTCAAATAAAACAAAATAAAATTCAGGTTTTAAACTCTCTCTCTTCTTTTTCCATCTTTGTTCATCAATGGAGGAACCAAACTCATCCAACAAACCCCATCTTCTAATTCCAGATCCAACATCTCCAATCCACCCAACCTAAATTGAACCCATAACCAAAATCACCACAAACATTGCAGCAAAACGACTTGAACCCATTTCGCAGAGAGACCGAAAATGCAAGAGGGTGGTGGTGGATTTTGAGTTTGAAATGATGGTGTTGAGAAGCGCAATGGAGGTAGAGAGTGAAGGAACAGAGTGAGCAGTGGTAGGTGAAGCCAGAGCAAGGTGTTTGGCAATTGGTGCAGAGGATTTGGGGGTTGTTGTTGTGGGGATTGGAAGGTGGATTGAGGAGGAAAGAAGGGGGGTGGGGGAGGTGAAGGGGGTGGAGAGATTGTAGGGGAAGTTTGAGGCAAGAAATGTGGAGGAAGAAGGTACAATCTAGCCATCTCTCTGTTGGGATTGATCTAGGTTGAAGTGGATGATCATGCTACATACAATCAACGGCCATCTATGTGTGTGTGTGTGTGTGTGTTTCGGTGAAAAAAAAAATAAAAAAAATATATTTAAATTACTCAACAAAACGACGTCATTTTGGTGAGGTTGCATCTCAATCCTTGGAAGCTGAGTGAGACATGTGTCAACCATTCCTACATCACTGTAGGAGATCAATGTAAGATTTCACTCTAGAGGATCCTTACCCCAAGCGCGAGATAAATATGAATAAATTACACTTACCTCCTGAGTGGTTGGGGTGTAGAGAAGGGTACCCGAGTGTAGGCAATAGTCAATTGTAATTTGTATCAAACAACACCATTCAAGCCACAAAAATTGAATAACCAAAGCCCCAATTGAGAGCAAAAATGATCAGATCAATCACCAAATAAAATCAGAAATTTTACAGCTGAAAAAATAAATAAATAAATAAATAAAAATAAAAATCCACACTTGTATATAAAGAAAATAAACAAAAGAGGTTGAGGAACTTGTTAACTAAAACGAGAAAACTACATTCAATCAAAAAATTTAACAACCACTTGGAGTGCATCTTACAAACCCAAATTTCAAATAACATAAATACATCATATAACCCAAAATTCACACCAACTATATTCAATGAGATATTTTTACAAGCATTTGCAATATATCTTACAACCTAGATTTCAAAATAAATACTCATTATTATTTGTTACCAAAATCAAGGTAAAAGAAATCTCCAAAAAAATCCATAAAATGCATGAGCATCATCCACCTCTGCTTCGTCCTACAAACTACCCTCTTCATCGCTATCGATCTCACAATCTTATGCCCCAAAACCTCAAAATTCCGGTTGAGCTCCATTGCAATCGACAATCTCACCACCACTTTAGCTTCATTCGATATCCGATTCACCGCCATGTACGTCATGAAGAACCCGAATCTTGGCCCCTTAGAGTTCTATGACACCTATATTACTTACTCGTATAATAGAAAATGAATCAGAAAGAGTTGAATCAGTGAGTCGAGAGCTAAGGATTTGTCAATGAAGAATGTGAGCTTCAAGTTGAATGCACTTCTTGTTCTTCTTCTTAGTCTGTTTCGAATTTGGGTTTGGATATTGGTTCAGGTGAGAGTGCTCGCAAACGTTTGAGAGGTTAGAGGGGGAAAAAAACAAAACAAAAACAAAAACAAAAAAACCAAAAAAAAAAAACTTCCAACACGTCGTCGTTTTGGAGCATGGCAGCATGGCAAAAAACACTGTAGAGAACCACGACAGAGGATCTAGACTCTAGGCGTACAGTTGGGTTAATACACAAAAACTAACCAAGAATTCATTACAACTCTCACATGAAATGAGTTCCAAAATAAGTGGGTCTATTTTGGATATAATCTCATTTGAAACAATTGTAATTGTGGTTGGTTCTATTTTATTTCAATAGAGCATTGATTTTTTTTTCTAATTTGTTTGATTATGCGCAATTTGACGAGCAAGAACCACACCATCAGGCATGGCCGCGACGTAGCACTTATGGTTGTCGGTGTCAATGTCAATGGCGCCACCAGAGCCGATAATCAACTCAATCAAGCCACCGGCAATTTCAGCCAGGATAAAGGCTCCTAAAAGGCCAGTCGCAAATCCTGCCATGGCAACAAACATTGATGTTGCCTCCACACCAACCAAGTCAGTTGCAATCGCAGCTCCAATAATATCCCCCAATATCGCTCCACCCATCGCTGTTGTGCTGACTACGGCATCGTGTGTCACGGTTTGAATCTTGTGGTCAGACGAATATATGTCCCACACCATCAGGCCTGCAGTGATAACCACCACAGCAGCGCCACCAATTGACATAGCCTTGGATAACCATGACTTTATAACACTTCCCCGCCTAGATGCCTGCATGATATCGCCATACACCTACATACATACATACATACAAATTAATGTAATATTAATTAGCAAACAAGTAAGCAAGGAAACACACTTGCCAAAAAAAAGAAGCTAAGGAATTGAAATATTGTCATACGAGTCATACCAGTATCTTTTCTTCCTCTTTCAGGTCTTTGAAAAGCCAACCAAGTCCACGAATGTGCTGGTATCTGCATGCATGAGTGATGCATAAATTTGATGGAATTAATGCTCAGATAAAATACCTTCCCCCAAAAATCATTAAACTTGATTAAAATTCCAATAATTATATTCCTAACTTGATCAATTTACCAAACAAAGAAAGAAGGGAATATATATATATATATATTATATGAATTTTACAATCAACAATACTACGGGCACAGAACCAACCACATAAAAACAATCCTAACCATACATATCACATAATGAGGCCATCATAAAAATATAATTTTACTCAGACTGCTCCACCTATGCTTTATGTGATTGGTTCTGTGTCCGTAGGCTTATTGTTTTACAATCAACGATACTACGGATACAAAACCCATCATAGGGAAAAAAAAATGTAACTTCTTGGAAACTTTAAACTTATTTAATTATTTTTTTGACGTTTTTAAATAAAAGTAATTACTCTCTCCATCTCCCTTTGCTATTCCAATTTAGAGAATCCAATTTTTTAAGGGGGCAAAATTATGACACCTTGAAAATCCGAAGTTTCCAATATTACCATTTTCATTCTTACAAAAGATGTGAGAAAGGCAAAAGTGGGTTCTATGAAATTTTATTCATTTGACTTTTTAGAGTAAAAAGTTATTATAAAACAAACAAAAAAGTCAATTTAAAAAAAAAAGAAGACAAATAAATAGATATCAGTCAGTTTAACACATACTTTTGCACTAGTTTGTCAAACGTGAGGCCCTGTTGATTGACCCATCGCGAGAACTCAGCTGACGCAGAACTTCGACACTTGTTGATAAATTCCAACATAGATTCCTTGTATTTGGCTGCTTCCTCTTTCAGAGTCAACACATTGCTCAGATTCCCCGTGTCCAGATTTACCAATTCCTTGATGAGGGATTCCACGTGAGTGCTTATTTTACTCAAATAATCCTTCCTCACCGTGCAGTTCCGAACAGTTTGCAGTGCACTGTTGCCGCAATACACGATGTACAAGAAGATGTCCTCAGCGATGGGATAACGAACAGCATCATTTTGGTACTTTTTTTGCTTCAACTCAACTCCTTGGTCCAAAAGTTCTTCCACGGTGATGTGATTGTCTCGGCAATCTCTGAGGTATTTGGAGCATTCCTGTTCGGATGGGAAGTTGATGCTTTTTATTGTGTCTACTTCTTTGTACCATATTACCTTCGCAAGTTGGCGCACTTTCTCAACATCTTCCAAAATAACAGGGCTGGCCATTTGATTTGATTGATTGGTGAGGAGAGACAAAGAGCTAGAGCCAATGCCTAAATGATGGTCACAAAATGGATACGTTTTATGTCACGCCTCAAACCCGCCCCTAAAAGTTTGGGCATGACCGCTTCAGAAACGAACATTTAACTTGATATATATATATATATATATATGAGATATAGGGCCTAAACGGAAGCATTAATATTTTAAAATAACAGAAAACCATCTCCATTGAGCTATAACTACTATGCCAGGATCACCAACGGAATATAAGGAAAATAAACATACAGTGACGTGCAACTGAGAATTTAGCTAAATGCAAATACACATACATATACAGACCCAGTCCTCAAGATTGGGGGTATAACAGGAACTTTGAAAGGTAAGAGGATTATCTATACTTCCTCTTTAGACAGACAATCAGGGTACAAAATCAAAAACTTAGCAAAACTCCATAAAATGAGCTGCATTCATTTAAGTGTCTGGACACCCTGAGGTTGACATAAGAGGAACAGATGCCATGGGTTGAGACTGACCTCCAGATGGAGTGCCTACAGAAAAAGACATAGCATAAAGTGAGCCAAGCTCGGTGAATAGTATTACGTAGCAATTTAACAATTAACTTGAATTACAATGTACATGTATAAGGGCAGAGGACATATAGTTAACTTTATCCTGTAATTATTTTCAGAATGGCCTTAGGCCTAAACTTAAACAGAATGGCTTTAAGCTCTTGAATAGAGTGGCATTAAGCCCTTAAACAGAATGGCAATCAGTCCTTAAACAGATCGGCATTAAGCCCTTTTCATGCATGTATGAACTTAAGAGGTGGCTCGCACGGATTCTAGAGGTGACTCGCATGGCAGCACTTAGTTCCGTGCATCACTTTGTTTCATACTAACAGATCATACAGAATGGCCATAGGCCCAGATGTCACAGATTGGCCATAGGCCTCACATATGTCACAAAATGGCCATAAGCCTCATAACTTTCACAGAACTGCCATAGGCCTCATAACTTTCACAGAACGGCCATAGGCCTCAGTTCACATATGTATGGACTCAAGAGGTGGCTCGTACAGATTCTAGAGGTAGCTTGCATTGCAGCACTTAGTTCCGTACAGCACTTTGTTCCATACCAGAAATCATTAGGTCTTAAAGATCGAACCATCCATATCATGTCATTACAATACGCTTAACAAAGACAGAACAATTTACATTCTAACGTGGGTTACATAATGATGTTAAACCTTTGCATTCATGTCGTAGATTCTAAACGACCTCGGGTCCATACGTAACACAACAGAATAATCTTTGATTCATACAGATACCATTGTTCAAGGATGAACATAAGTTCCATTTATTCTTTAAGAAGTAACGTAGTATGCTCATAAATAACAGAGGGTTAATATTTGTTATTGACAGAACAAAAGGATTCCAAAGTCATACCGATATTCGCAAATCTTCCAATGTTCATATAAGTTCACATTGATTTCCAATCGTCATAAATGTTTGTGTAACACTTACGAAGAACAGAGTGTTAGTGACAATAATTATCAACGGTAAATAAAATATACATTTCTGAACTGCTACTCACAGTGTGCTGGTGGAGCATTTGTTCCTCCCGAAGCGCGTCCTACCCACATACGTAGTCACACATTAATTCTCTTTTCCTTATTAAATCGTTTCCTGATTCTCTTTACTTCGACTGAATTTACAGACATTAAAACAATATCAAATACAGATTTCAACAATATTAGAGGGTCCAGCACGCAAAACAGAGCATGTCATGTTTTTCAGCTTGGGCCGCACGTGCGGCTGTGAGCCCCGCACGTGCGGCAATGATGCCCCGAACGTACGGCAGTGATGCCCCGCACGTGCTTTTTAAGCAGAACCCAAACTCAAAATTTCCCATTTTCCCGCACGTGCGGCGATTGGTTCGGCACGTGCGGCCATGACCCCCGCACGTGCGGCGATTCTGCACACTTTGGCAATCCGAAATTCAACCTACTCTTCACTTAGCCAATTTAACTTGAAACACAATTTGAAAATAAAATTCATGCAATATCATGGTTTAATCTTAATCTTACAATAACATGATTCATATCACAAGAATTACAAGTTACAATCCAATTGAATTACTTCTTCACACGAACACACCCATAAACATACTTAACTCTCTTTTGCATATAACATCACTTGTAAAATTAGGTAAGTTCTATATGAGAAATTATATGAGAAATCAAACAATAAAAGATAGTCCTTTTATCTATGCATAACCAACTCAATGCTAATCACCTAAACAACAAAATATAAACCAAGCTAAGCCATGATCATACACTAAATTCAATTTCATGTTCTAAGTTACACAATTGTTAAGGAACCCTACTCAAATTCAAGAGAGAAGTTATAGAAGATGAGTAAACTTACCTTTTAGCTTAAATCTCACAAATTCCCTCTAAATTATCCAATCCTTGATCTTGATAAAGCTTCCTTCTAGATCCTTTCTCTCTACTCTCACTATCCTCTCTCAGGAGATATTTCTTGAGCTAGGATCTTAAGTCAAATAGTTAAAGAAACACACATATATATATAAGAAATGAATAGGACAAAAATCAATCGTTTAATCATCCCAAATTGAAATTTCACAGAAATGCTTATTATTACTTAAAAATTATGCTAATTCCAATTATAGAATCAATTTCAGATTATCAAGTCTCTAAGGCCCTCAATTTCTGATTCAAACACTAGAATTGTAACAGATAGTTCTCATATTAAACAGATACACATCTATAAGCATAAGATTCACTTCTTTAAACTTACTTTCACATAAAATTTCACAATAAGCATACAAATGCACAGAATAGCGGACTAAAAGCGTACCAGAAAACATGTACGAGTGTCGGGTTATTACATTTTAGGCATGAATATGAGCATTTATTTATAAGCAGGAAAATTTTAGAAAACCCCCCAAACTGACAAATAGTTACCCCAACTATCAACGTATTAAGTGAGATTGGATGACTTTTAGATTAGCAATGTGGTCCGTTTGAGAGATGGACTGGAGATTGAGATGGTTCTCGTTTGAGAGATGGACCAAATAATAGGCCACCCAAACCTCAACTCTAATACCTTGTTAAAACATTCAACTCAAAACCAATTGGCTATGAGTAGACCCATTAACAACGAGTTTGTATTGGGATTCGAATTCGGGATAAGGTGTTCCTTTAAAAATATATGTATATATATCAAAACGATAAGGTTCTCCATTTTATCAAAACGCCAACATACGAATCATTATTGAATTTTTGACTACCAACTAATCTAAAATCTTCAACTACTTCAAAACAAGTGCCTTGCTACAAGTGAATATACAATTTGTTAAGAATACAATTTAAATAATAAAATTATTCCTCTATCTAACAATTTAAACTTTTAGTTGAGATGGTAGTCAAACAATTTAACACCATGAGGGACAAAAGAGCTAAAAATGTAGTAGATCATAATAAGAGTACAAAACAGATGCCTTTTGTAGGAGGATCCTTGGGAATAAAGTGGGCTGATACCAAGTTAAAATAATAAAATAAAATAAAAAAGAAGAAAAAAAAAGAGAGAGATTAAAGAATTCTCTTTATTTCAAATGGAGGTTGTTCTCATTGAAAAGCTTTAATGATTCCTTCAATATTTTTGCCTTTATTTTTCCTATGGAGGACAATTTAATAATTTGTGTGCCAATAAGGCTGTAGCCAAAATCTATCAGACGATTCTGTTGAAGCTAGGTTCTTTTGTTGGAAAAAATCATTATCTAAATGCGTTCGCCGTTGTGTGAAAATGTACCTTGCAAATATAAATTAATTTCGCGACTATGCAAGCACATAACATAAAAAATTAAGAACACAACTTACTAATAGGATGTAAAATCCTAGTAAACCCAAATAATGGTGATTGAGACCTGTATTGAACACAATGTCCTTAAGACAGATTTTGCACTCGCTACAGTGCTATGAGATCTCATTGGCGTTTGCCTCCTAAGATACAACAATCTAATTTTACTGATGCAACACTACAATCTATTCAAATAAAATAATCTTTTTTTATTTAGTTACAACCATGGAGAAATGAGTATTGAGTTCGAGAAAGAAACTGGAGAGAGAATATTATTTTATGTTTAGCTAGTGTGGATTGTATAGCTAGCTAGCAAAGAAGGGTGAATAGATAACCCCTGCACATAACCTGTTAGAGTAACTAAAATTGGGCACGACCACGTAAAACATCTAAAAGGTCCAATATATACGGCCTGTTGGAGTTTCTCTAAGAGGAAGAAAAGAAATTATATATTATTGAGATTTGTTATATGGTACAATGAGAAAGCCTTTATATAGGCATAGTATGCTTACTTACAACAAGAATCCTAATCAAATAAGGAACCCTGATTACAAAAAAAGAAAAAAGAAAATCATATAATATATTAATATATTCTAACACGCCCATCAAACTCAAGTAGATAGAAAACCAACTTGAGTTTGGAAGAAAAATTAAATCAATCTGATATTCGTAGCTCCTTTATATTAGGGCGTTTGTCTTCAAAAAAAAAAAAAAAAGTTAAAGGCAAATGTGTAACTGCTAATGTGTTTTTTTTTTAATTTAGAAGCTTTGGTGAAGAAGGTGAATATGAGTTCTCAAGGTCTAAAAAGTTAGCAAGGATGGAGAAAAAATTGTAAGGACCAAGGCGCCAATAGTGCAAGTCCATTGAAAAATTTAAACTCGTTTTGGGTGAAAAATCTCAAAAGAGTTTTGGGTGTTTAGGGCCTAGGTTATATTTAGGAGTTTTGTATATTCTAGGTGGCTTCTTACTAACTAGTTTTAGGTGAGCATGTTTGAAGCATTTGGAGTCACTTTTTCTCACCAATGATCATTCATGCTTTTCTCATTTGTAATACTTTATTGCTATAATAAAAGGGCAAATTACGATGATAGTCCCTATAGTTTGATCATTGTGTCATTTTAATCCATGTAATTTCAATTGGCTCGATTTTGACCTCGAATTTATGATTTTGTCTCAATTGAGTCCAATTGATTACAACACATAGCATTTTTTTTTTAAAATACACACATAGTTGTCATGTGTCATATTTTTAAGAACAAAATTATAAACTTACTCAACTCAGTGAGTTAATCTCAATCAATTTAGTAATAATTTTCTGTAGAAAACACTAATAATATTATCAATTGGACCAAATTGACACAAAATCTAAAATTAAGGGTCAAAATTGGACTAATTGAAAGTGTAGGTATCAAAATGACACGAGATAAAATATAAGGACTACTGGTATAATTTGTCCATAATAAAAAATTTGAGAATTCTAATAGTCTTTAATGCAACATGTCATAAAAAGTCTAATTATAACCGGCTTAGTTGGGCATCACGAGTTCAACTCTCATTGAGTGCTAATTATGAGTTTTAAGGAGGAAATAAATTGTGCTTTGCAAGAGTGGGGGAGGTTAACTAACTCCCATGGAGTGTGAACAAATTGGTTCTCACTCCAATGGGTGCTAATCCAACACATACTAACCAACTAACATTTTTCCGACAAAAAAAACAAAACAAAAAAGAAAAAGTCTAATTTTTAAAGCTTCTTATATAGATGGGAATCTGTAAAGCTAGAAGACATCCACTAACAGATCCAATTTGTGATACTACTTCTTATCTACATAGACTAGATTGGAAGAAGCACCACCCATTTGGCCACCACACATCATCAGTTATCAATTATCTCACACACACACAAACACACACTACTTTTTTTCTTTTTTTTTGACTGAAAGTATGTGTATGGCATCTATACACTAGTACTAGTACACATACATAAATCTATGAATATATAGATACAACAAAACTATCAAACACTGGTAAAAATATATAAATCTATGTATATAATAGTAGGGTCCAGCTTGTCTCAAGTTGAGATAAAGACTGGACTCGTCCAGTCCGGTTCATGGGGCCCATTTTTTGGGCCCGTTCTGCTAATCTGAACCGTTCAATGTGTAGAACTCGTCGAGTACTATATGTTTGTAAAAAATCACGTTGATCGAATATCAATAGTTATGTGATCAAATCAGTTTTGTATAAATAAAAAAAAATGGACGGTGAAAAAATTAACGGTTGATAAAAAACTGTTTTGTTCACATAGCTATCGATATCCGATCAACGTGATTTTTTACAGGCATATAGTATTCGACGAGTTCTACACATTGAACGGTTCAGATTATCAAAACGGAACCCGTGATGGGCCCTCACGGGCCCAACAGTACAGTCCAGTCCAATATTGGACTGGACCAAAGCCACTGCCATAATGGTATATCAAAACCATTAAAACTAGTTCGAATACATAGATCTGCGAATATATAAACAAATAAACATGGCATAAATTTTGAAAGAGGCGATTTATGAAGGTGATAGTTAAACAAACAAGCAAATACATCGTATCATGTAAAATCAAATACATACAACCATGGAAGCAAGAATCGTGAAGCATGGATTTGTGGAAGCAGCAAAAACCCTCATTGATTCCCGAAACTAAACAGATTGCAAAAATGGGAAAAATATATGGTGAAGGCGATGATGATCTCACCGTAATAGGAGTTCTTCGGTGCCGGCGGTGAAGTTTTCCGATGAACGGAGGTTAAAATCCAAGTGCAGAGGTGAAACTACTCTCTTCTTCTCTTTCCTCCTCTGCAGAGCACTGACTGAGTACAAAATGGCTGGGGTTTCTTTGATATGTGCACTGATTTTAGATGGTATAGTCACCGCTAAATGCGTCTTTTCATACTATTTCTCAATAATCTATGACTAATAATCTCAATGCATGTTATAATTTGGTTAATCAAACAATAAAACTAGCTAAGTTTTTAAAATTGGCCATTTAAACATCTCTTCTTGAGTTTAGAATCGATATATTGCTCATCCTGATCACTATTGAATATCTACCCTGTATATTGATCCGTGCGATGACTCGGTCCATAAGCACATAGATTAACAGAATTCCTTGCAAATTAATAAACTAATCCGCAAAAACCTACCTTATTTCTTTCAATAATTGCAGTTCAAGGTTGTCCTTTCTACAGTTAAGAAAGAGAGAGAGAAACTAGACCTTCCCATTGGATAAAGGATGGTTTCGATTAGTTTCTATAGCTGTCAAAGATGACATAGTCACATGATTCATGCCTTTGCAGGGAGATAATTTAGGAGTAGGAAGCTTCTTCGGCATCATCTGTTCCCAGTATCCCTTGTGCAACCTCGACGCCTCCGAGAGAACAATTAAAGCAAGGAGACTCTACTCCGATGCATATAATTCACAAAGATGCCAAGTCTGCTAACATACCCTTAGACAATGAGTACACCACGAAAGTGTCTGATTTCAGAGTTTCAATATTGCTTCCTTCGGACCAAACTCGATTATCCACATTGGTTCAAGGGACATTTGGGTACATAGACCCCGAGTACTTCCATTCAGGTCTTTTAACAAATAAAAATGATGTTTACAACTTCGGAGTTGTACTTGTAGAGCTATTAACTGGTGAAAAGGTTATTTCGATGGATAGGCCTAAAAAGCACACAAGTCTAGCTACTTATTTCAATTCATTGTTGGAAGAAGATAGGTTAAATCAAGTTCTTGAGAATCGAGTGGCGAAAGAGGGAGATGCTGAGCAGATCAGAGGAGTGGCTAAGCTTCCCAAAAAATGCTTGAGATTGAAAGGGGATAAAAGGCCTTCAATGAAGGAGGTAAAAAAGGAGCTTGAGGCATTGGGGAACAGTGTGAAGAAAAGGGTCAAAATTGGATCAGATTTGGAAGAAAATGAGCTCTTGATGAGTGAACCATTCAATTTGTATGACAGTGGTAGATCAACTGGCTTTGATAGCCTAAGAAGCCAAGTGGTGCTGCAAATGGATGATGGGCAATGATTGGCCGTCCCAATTTTCTGTACACGCAGCAAAACTATTGTTGTGTAATATTTGGGTAATTCACTTGGAAAATGTGTGAAAAATTACTGATACAAAAAGCTGAGAAATAAGAACTATGATTCTTTGAATCTATGATTTGGTTGTAAGATTATAATTGTTGTAAAATTATGCTTTAACAACTCTGGATTTTTTAACCACAAACTATATACGACTAACTCTATGTATTCTTGAGACTTAACGCAAACTAACTCGTAACTTATTAAAAACTCGTTTGAAATTGATTCGTTTTGTAAACAAGTTAATCTTAAACACATTTTGAAACTCATTAAGTTATCAAGCTAAGCTTAAACAACCTAGTACTCGGTTCAACTCGACTCATTTACGGTCTTATTAATAATGATAACATGAATATGAATTCAAGTCTTGTACTCCCTACTTGCAAGGATCGTTCATTTTTACGTGCTTCAACATTATTCAAAGAGTAAATTGAAGTGAAAATCACTAAGTTGGTTGACATCTTTTTAAGTAGTTTGATTAAGATAAAAGAGATCCACTTGAAATTTTGAACAAAAATTTTATGTGGAAAAAAAAAATGGGGGCCATAAATCTGAATAAAAATTCAAAATGTAATTTGGTAGTACAATTTGACAAATGAGTAATTGGTTTAAAATTTTGAATTTCTCGAGGACTTGTTTATAAATTCTTGAAATTCGTCAAACTCCGACTAGACAAATAAAGCTTCGAGTTGCTAATTGAAATTGAATTCATCATTTACTTTGATGTTGAGAAAATTAGATAAATTACCAATAGATCTTACTTTTAGAATTTATCTATATTATTTTTAAAAATCAACCCTTAATTTGATGTCTTAAAGCTTTAAGCCACGTGAAATTTAGATTAAAAAAATAATAATAAAAGAAATTAAGCACTCATATTCTTTCCACTAAACACCTTTTTCATTCCAATAGTTCCATACTATTCTAGACTTCTTATCTGCCACAATCAATTACTCTCATCATTTATTTATTTATTTTGATTTCTTTCTCTATTTAAAACATTGTGCAGTTCCTATATCTATAAAATATATATATAGCGCAGTTTCAATTCACTTTCACCATCTTCACTTTTCTCTATTATGTGTAAAATATCAATTCCCTATTTAAAAACATTACAATCTTATAATTATTTAACAATATTGCAATCTTATCCTTAAGTACAATATTTGTTAATTATACTTTTTTATTTTTTCTCATTAAAATGTTCCATCAAGTTATCAAGTTCTTTGGAGAGGGAAAAAAAAATAGAGTATAAGAAATAATTCAGTATTTCTTAAAATTAATTTATTTTTAAAAAAATTAGTTTTTTTTTGTTTGTTTGTTTTTTTAATTTTTTTATATTAAAAATCTCTTTGACAGTATAGGAGTCTTAGGTTTGTAATTTGTTAAAAAGTTGTTTGTTTGTTTTCTTAAATTTTTTTTTTTTTATCAAATATGTTTTACTATAACTTTATATATATATATATATATATATCAAATTTCTTTGAAAATAAGTGTTATAAAAATTTTAAATTTATAGTTTTTTAAAAAATTGTTTATTTGTTTTCTTAATATTTTTTGCCATAAAAGGGGCATTGGTTTAATGGTTAAAACTTGGCTTAATAACCTTGAGGTTGTGGGTTCAAGTCTTGAGACTACCACTTTATACATTATGTCAAAAGTTAACTGTGTATTCAATCTTTCACGTCCCAAACACAAATTACTGTATACTAATTGGGTATTTTTTTTTTTTAATATATTTTGTTGTGTGTTTATTATTAGGAAAAATTACCCATAAGTCCTAGTTTTTGAAACGTTGAACCATTTAGTGCTAAAAGTTTTCTTATGCTCCATTTAGTCTCATTTTTACATCAACATGATGTGAATGATGTAAATGATCTGATGTTTCATTCTATAATTTCAAAATTTATTGAAATCTGATGAACATTAGATGTTTTTCATCCTATATTTTCAAACATTATTGAAATTTGATGAACATTAGATGTTTGAAATCCAATGTTTGTAACATGACTCTGATGTTATTAACATTGTATCTGATGTTATTAACATTGTAATGGGACCTTTCAGTCTATAAGAAAACTTTGAGGACTAAACAGTGCATAAGTTATTAATTTGGGATTTATTGGTGCATCCCCCTTATTATTATTATCATTATTTTTATTTATTTTTTTGTGTATATCAAATCTCTTTTATTATAATATTCTAAGAGTCTTGGCTTTGTATTTTTTTATTTTATGTGCTTTATTGTGTAGTTTTAATTCACTTTCACCATCTTCACTTCTCTCTATTCACAATAAAATATCACTTTTTTAGTGAAGAACATTGCAATCTTATAGTTAATCAAGAACATTGCAATCTTATCTTATATACTTTTTATTTTCTTCATTGAAAACTTCCGTTATGTTAATAAATTTTGTTTATTTATTAATTATACTTTGTTTTTTTTCTTTATTTATTCCGGTATGTTATTTTCTTTATTTATTAATTATACTTTTTATTTTCACTTTGTTTTTTGTGTATAAATTTTGTTTTTTTTAATAAAATTTGTTTGTTTATTTTCTTTATTTTTTTGGTGTGTGAGTTTTTTTTTTTTTTTTTTTTTTTTGTAAGTGATTAAAAGGCTTGGATTAGTGTTTTTATGCTTAACCACATTTTAAACAAAAAAATAAAAATACTCCAACTAGATCATACGTTATTTTGCCAAATACATATGTATTTTATTTATTTATTTATTTATTTTCGCAGGTAGCTTTACGATTCTTGCTTTTCAAAATAAATAATTTCTAGTTTTTTTTTAATAAAATTTGTTTGTTTATTTCCTTTATTTTTTTGGGTGTGTGAGTTTTTTTTTTTTTTTTTTAAACAATTCAATGTTCTTAAAAAAAAACTTCTTTTTTTTGTTTTGTTTTTAAGCAATTCAATGTTCTTAAAAAAAACTATCTTTTTTTTGTTTGCTTTTCTTCTTTTTTTAAATTTATTTGTTTATTTTCTTCTTCTTCTTCTTCTTCTTCTTCTTCTTCTTCTTCTTTTTTTTTTTTTTTGCGTGTGTTTTTTTTAAGAAAAAATTCAGTATTCTTCAAATTTGTTTTGATTGTAAGTGATTAAAAGGCTTGGATTAGTGTTTTTATGCTTAACTACATTTTAAACAAAAAAATAAAAATACTCCAACTAGATCATACATTATTTTGCCAAATGCATATGTATTTTATTTATTTATTTATTTTCACAAGTTGCCTTACGATTCTTGCTTTTCAGAATAAATAATTTGTAGCGCTTCTCTATTAGAGAAAAATATGAATTTTGAAACATGTGAATTTCATAGCATAATTTCGAATGATTTGCGGCCGCTAGTTATTCATTATGTCTTGATAAATTTATTAGTCTCTTATATTTTTATGAATTAATTTATAGTGATAAATTTATCAGTCAATACCTATAGGTAAATAAATGTAGTTAATAGAATTGATTAGTAAGTGCCTTGAGAAAACCACCAAATCTGACAGTAATCTCTGCAACCTTGGGCCATGTTTGTTTGAACGCATATGATTTGAGATTAGGTTAATAATTCAAGAAGCTACAGAATCTCATATTTAGTTAAGAAAATTGAGATTTGAACTAAAAGTCCATTCAGACATAATATCCTCATATGAGAGATTGTTGAATCTCAAGATGAAGGAGATAGGATATAGAATGGAGAACTAAGAAAAAGTTCAGACTGTTGGGGAATTTTCAAAATTTATAGTTTAGTTTTTA